ATTTTTGAACACACGTGTCCTTTATTTTGTACATCAGGAAGGGGGGCTAGGGAGGGGTAAGTGGAAGGAGGTGAGGGAGGAATGGGGTATGAGCCCCTGATGGGGAGGACTGGGGTGGCTCTGCGGGCTCCTCGGGGTGGAAGCTGTCCTGCAGCCCCCCGATTGACCCACCCCCCTGGATGGCAGCCTGCGGCAAGTGCAGCCGGGTTGATGGCCGAGTGCTGTGATGTGCCGAGTGTGGGCATTCAGGGCACTCCAAGCCAGGACTGCTTTGCTGTCCCTCATAGAGTTAGACAAGCGAGTGGGGAACCCCTGAGAACTGTCTGTCCGGGGTGGGGGTCGGGTCCCTTTAAGCACAGCCCTCGGCTAGCCTGAGACAGCAGCTGCACGCTCTAAGTCCTAATCTGATGCCCTGCCGGCACTGCTTCCGGCCATCCTTAACCTCGGTTCAGGGTCCACTCAATGTGGACATGCTAGTTCGAATTAGCAAAATGCTAATTCAAACTAGTTTTTAGGTCTAGATGCACTAGTTTGAATTAGCTTAGTTCGAATTAACTAATTCAAATTAAGTTAGTTCAAATTAGCGCTGTAGTGTAGACATACCCTTAGGAACTTAACTCCCATTGATTTCAATGGGAGTTGAGGGTCTATGTATTTGAGGATCTGGAACTTAGTTTCCCTACCTCAGTTTTCCTGTTCATGAAGCAAGAATAATATCTACCTTATATGGATGTGGTAAAGTTTAGTTTAACACCTAGAACCCGGCATCCACTGAAGTCCATAGTAGAGATGTTAAAATCCAATTAATCAAGTAGTCTTGAAATATAGCAAGAGCCGGGTTCCCTGCTGTGCCTCTGCCTCCCCTGTCCGTTCCCTCTCCCCCATACCACGGAGACAGTGTTGGGGGGAACTGGTTTTTAAGCTGGCTCCATTTCCCCCAACCCTTGCTGCCGCTGATATAGAGGTAGCAAGGGGGTAAGGAAAATGCGAGTAGTTGACTCGACTACCTGATACTAGGCTTATCAGGGAGTCAACTGCTCTTTTACATCCATAATCCATAAGAGTCCATTAGAGTAATTCCATTATCTACAATAAGTATATGATTGGGCCCTAAAATCGTCAAATTCAAGGTGCTATCAAAATGCAAAGCATAATATGCAGTGCGGTAAATTAATGTTTATTGTTGGAAGCACTTCTTAGGCATTCCTATTCACCCTATGAATATTTTACTAGACAGAGTCAAAGGCTCTTGTCCTCCAAGTGTACAGGCAGTCCCTGACTTACACGGATCCGACTTATGTCGGATCCGCACTTACGAACGGGGCTTTTCTCGCCCCGGAGCTCGCAGGCGGCGGGACCGCCCAGAGCGCAGTGGTCCCACCACCGCATCCTCCGGGGCGAGAAAAGCTGCTCCGGGTCTCCCTGGTGTGCTGGGGGGGACTCCCCCAGGAGCAAAGCCGCACAGGCAGCGTGCCCCCCCGCCTCTGCGACTTTGCTCCTGTCCCCCTGCTGTGCTGGGGGGGAGTTCCCCCCAGCACAGCAGGGATACCAGAGCAAAGCCGCACAGGCGGCGGGACCCCGCTGCCCATGCGGCTTTGTTCCTTTGCTGCTGCCGCCTCTGCAGCTTTGCTCCTGTCTCCCTGCTGTACCCAAGTAGGAATAAGAGATCCGTGCCCCCCCGCCTCTGCGACTTTGCTCCTGTCCCCCTGCTGTGCTGGGGGGGAGTTCCCCCCAGCACAGCAGGGATACCAGAGCAAAGCCGCACAGGCGGCGGGACCCCGCTGCCCATGCGGCTTTGTTCCTTTGCTGCTGCCGCCTCTGCAGCTTTGCTCCTGTCTCCCTGCTGTACCCAAGTAGGAATAAGAGATCCTCCGGAAAAGAGCTTATTTTCTGGAGGATCGCGTCCAGACTGGCGCTTTTCTCCGGCTTATCTACAAGCTGGAAAAAAGCAGCAGCCATGTTAATGCAAATGCCGCGGGGGATATTTAAATCCCCTGCGGATTTGCCTATTCCCAAGTGCTACATTAGCATCCCTTTTCCAAAAGGGGTGCCAATGTAGACTTAGCATTCATGAGCATTAAGCATTAAGTGACAACAGAATCTGTTCCACACTTACATGGGTATATCTATAGAGTGTCTCCATATTTTTTAGTGGAATTACTCTGAATCCGAAACCGACTATCACCTTATAAGGAGTCTCAGGCTATGTCTATACTGAAGAGTTTTTGCACAAAACCACCTGTTTTTGCGCAAAAACTCACAGAGCTGTTTTTGTGCAAGAAAATTTACAGTGAATTGACAGAACAGAGTGGTTTTTGCAGTATAAGTATTCCTCTTTCTAGTGCATGGACGAGAAACGGGGGGTTTTTGCACAAAAATAGCCTATTGAAAGAAGCACAGGTGCCCTGGTGGCCATTCTGTTAATGGCAATCAGAGCTTTCTTGTGAGAGCGCATCCATGCAGTCTGGATGCTCTCTTGCGCAAAAATGCATTGCTCTTCCAATGTGCTTTTGCGGTGTGAACGTGCTCTTGCACAAGAAGTTTTTGCAGACGATCTCTTCCGCAAAAAACTTCTTGTACAAGAAGCCTGCAGTGTAGACATAGCCTCAGAGTCTCTCTCTCTCACACCATGACATTATTAAAGCTGTAAACGTCAAGGTAGAACATTTCTTGGGGACTATTAACTATCTTGTTGGTATCTCTTTACCAGCCTCCTCACAGTCATTTATTCCCAGAAAAGTTTGTATTGTGGTCATTATTGCTATATAATGAAAATATTAAAAAGCAAAAAGTATTCATACTGGTTTGAGTAATGCAGTTGGGTTTTTTGGTCTCTTTGGCATATGTCTACAAAGTTAGTGTCTTGATTCAAGCTGGCTATGTATATATCTGAAAAGTAATCCTAACCAGGGTTCCACCCAGCACCCCTGAATACTTATTAATTTAGCTCTGGGCAGGAGCAGGGGTAATATCCCCATTTTACAGATGCTGAGGCACAGGAGTCTGACTCAAGCCTGCAAAGGTGGAAAGCACTCAATTCCCTGTGAGTTCTGTGGGAGATGAGGTCCTTCAAAAAGGTTATGCTTAGCACCTTGCAGAATCAATCCCTAACTGCTTGCCTTACTGCCACAGTGTGTAATAGACATGGAACATGAACCCAGAACTGCCTTAGCCCTAAACCCATCCCCCTCCTAAATTACACTGGGTGAACTGTTAATCTTTAAAGTCTATCAAGAGTATTAGTCAATGACAATAGAAATAATTTTACCCCTGAGTTTTTCATTACCAATGTTGGCATCTCCGCTGTAAGTCAGCCCCCACTGCCCAGTTGCATCACATGGATAAATATCCTGGAACATAAATAATTGAGGAAATAGTTCCAGGGAGCTACAAATCCAAATATCAGCTGCAGAACTGGAAGGGTCAGTGGCAGGCACCCTGCACAAGGACTGAGCAGGAAGAGTCTTAAGGTAGCTTCCTTAATACAGCCCCTGCCTCCCTCTAAAGGGGGAGAAGAGCAGTTTGAGTGCGGGGCAGCTCCCAGTGCTGCAGCCGGCGGCTTCCCGCTCCTGAGCCAGAAAGTTACAGCGCTGCAAAGTGCCAGTGTAGGCTGGGCTCAGCTTGGGCGGCTTGGAGCCGGAGCCCGACCCCGCAGCTCCTGGCAGCAGCTTCCCTGCTGAGTTCATGGGCAGCTGGGCAGCGAGTCCTGCACAACCGTGAAGCTTCAGCCCCCCTCCGTCCCCTAAATGGCGGGCGCCTCCCCGACTCCGCTCCCCCAGCGCTGCCTCAGCCCGGCCCCGCTGACACCCGAGCCCGCGCTCTGAGCGGCGCACTCACCTGTCCCCGGGGGCTGCGCGGGCGGCGGCGGCGGCGGG